AGACGGCAGATGCTCTGAGAAAGCCAAGAAAGCCATAAGCAGCCCTGAGAAATCATAGCTAAAAGCTTACGGCATGTATTCGGTTTGCAAAAGGAAAATAAGATTTCTTTAGACGGGAATAACACTGAAAACCCTTTAAAACCTGCAGATAATAGCCAATTATATTTTATGTTTATACCGCTTTACATTAAAATAGTTTTAATCTTCCAGAAATAAAAAAATTGTTGGCTTTAGCCTTTTAACTTCGAAATTTAGATTACGCCACTTTTTAAAGAACTTGACGTGGTTTCTCTATACTATAGTAATAGTAAATTATACGAAGTGAAAACTATAAAAACAAATTAAAAAACCCAACTCTACACGTTTTACCTTTTCGAAAAATAACGTTTGGTCGGTCATACTGCGAGGCCCCTATCCTTTTCCCCTCCCCAGCCTACCCTTCCCCGCTCGGTTCTGTGGCCTAGTGGTCCAGGGGCGCGGGGCGGCGCCACCCCTCGCGGGTTCGACCCCCACCCGCGGCAGCCGGCTATGAGGAAATATGAGGGCGACCGAGGCCCGGGCACGTGCCTGCCTGAATAAGGCTCAAACCCAAGGTGGCGACCCGGCTCATAGGATGGATTCCTCCTTTCTGAGCTACTTTTTGCTTTTTGGGGGTCCAGCTTTTCTTACTTTACAATTTTCCGGCCTGTTTGGGGTATTATGTATGTTTTTATCCTTTCAGGCTACTGTATTTAGTATCGTTGCATACTACTACTGTTCTGAGGCCTCTAACTAATATTTTTGAGTCGGGTTTCTCTTTTTTAAGGTACTATGGTAGATTGGGCCTTCCCCATTTTGAGCTACCGTATCTAGTAGCGTTACGTAGTGCAGTGCTGAATTGATGCCTCTAAATACGAGTAAAAGTTGGATTCTTCATTTTCGACCTACTTTGGAAGTTTTTTAGGTCTTACTGTAATTTTTTCTCTTCTTTAGCTACTATATCTAGTGGCCTGACGTAGCGGAGTACTGTCACATATCCAAAATCCCTTCTATATCCATAAGTACTATTAACCCCCGATCCAACCGAATTTTCGGCGGAATAATTCCGTTTATCCCCACGGTGTACGAAATTCCGCAGCACTCCTATGGCTCGGGCCCCCGTTGCCCGGGCCACGGTTTACGGCCCCTAGCCAGGTCCCAGCTCTTGTTCGCTGTGGGACCCGTGCACAGAAAATTCAAGGGGGATGTGAAAGCGAGACGTTGCCTAAAAAACAGCCCCCGTTCCCGACGGGACCCTGGGTGCCCGTTGATTGGCTTGGAATCAAGATCCCGCCGGGACCCCTCTCTCTCTCTTTCTTTTGCCACTCACCTGGGGACACCTATAATTTTCAATTTTTATGTGGTATCTTCTGATTTTTAAAATTGAGTCACGGACTACGGTATTTTTCGTGCTGCTGGTTCGTTCGGGTACAATGTCCCAATTGGATTGGGGGATTGGAGTTTGTAGTTTCTAGCGGGATGGAATGTAGAATGTTCGAGAGAGGGAGAGAGAGAGAGAGAGAGTGAGTGGGTGAGAGATAGAGATAGCGAGAGCGAGAGAGTTCTTAAAAATAGAGAGAGAGAGCCTGAGAGTGTGAGAGAGAGAGCGAGCTAAAAGACAGAGGAGGGAAACCTTGCTCAGTTCTTTCCGGAATTTTTCTACATGTCGAGTTAATATCATAGCTTGAGTGTCTAAGCTATTAAAGCCAGAATACGAGTTTCCAAAAACCCGATATATTTTTGCTTTCAATCGTCCTTTAAAACCCCCCGTTTTTCAGGTAGAAGAAAAAATTTTTTTGAGGGAATGCATTTTTAGAGATTTTTTGGAGGTGACTCGATAATTTAAACCTTTTAACTGCTATTGAAACCTTTAGAAACAAGAAAAAAAGAAATTACGACGAAATTTACAAACCTAATACATCAAGCGTACCAGGAAGTTCGCAATTTTTCATATTTTATTTTCGTTTTCGTACCTAATAATCGACACTTCCGTCATTACGGTACCCTGTTGCGGTTGTGGTGTTTTAGGCGGAATTAGAATTACTGAAAAACCCTTTGAAATTCTGAATTTCACCAGGTTTGTGAAGTAAACGCGAACTCATCCCGGGCCCCCGGGGGACCACATGCTAATTACGACTTATCGGACCCTCCCCCTTTGGCTGTGACTCCGCGCGGACTACACTTTCCAGATTTAGCCGCTCCCTCCAAATTTCTAGAAAATTCCGAAGCTGGCCTATTGCCGCTGCGCTGAAAAGTCTAACTTTGAAAATACCGCCGATCCAGTGTCAATCCATTCTGGCCGGCCTCGGCTGCGGCTTGATGGGCAAGGCCGAGATGATTGATGACGATAAGTAAGACTCGGGCAGCTTCGCGTACGCTTGGTTGGGCTTGACTTAGGATGGTCTTGGCTTGGGCTTGGCTTAGGCCTGGCTTAGATTGGCTTAGGCTTAGCTTAGGCTTGGCTTAAGCTTGTTTGAGCTTGGCTTAGGTTTGGGCTTGGGCTTAGGTTTAGGCTTTGCTTAGGCTTGGCTTAGATTTTGCCAATCATTTTGCTTAGGCTTGGCTTAGGCTTCAGTTGGGCATGGCTTAGGCTTGTCTTCGGATTGACTTAATCTTGGCTTGAGCTTCGCTTGTGTTTAGAAACTTTTAAGGCCAGCAAAGCCGATAAACTAGAATAAATAGATTTATAAAGTTCTACGAGGATTTAAGGTTTTTTAAAGTTTTATTTTCCCGAAACACTACTGAAAACGAACTGGAATTTACTACAGAAACAAAAATCGAGTTTGCAAGCTAGAAAGCGTTTTAAAGGTACTATTGAGTTAACACAAAGTGACTTTTCTTCCTTTCCGACCCCTTAAACCGGGTTCCTCTAATTCCGTACAGCTACTTTGCACCTACGGCTCTTCCAATTCCCCTGAATATCTCCTCCGATTGGCGTCATATGGGTTTTGCCAGGGTGTCCAGGTGGAAAATCCAATCATGCCCTCGGGGGCTACGAAATTGTGCGCCCGTCGCGCGGCTCTGACGAATTGCCGGGTAGAAGCTACAATTATACCGTCGACAGACAGACACGGACAGACGAACAGACAGACACATTTCCTCTTGGCAGTCAATCAAATTTTTTTCATAGATTTTCTGATTTGTATGGCTTTTTGGAGTTTTTTGGACCAGAAGGGGTGTGTAGAGTATGGAAACGTACCAGAATTGACGTAATTACGTAAAATTTTGCCAAAATTTGGAATTTTTTTTATTGTTTAGTTTTTTTGGAGTACCGGGGTAATTTTAGAGTCAGGAAACGCAAAGCCAACTACCCTTATAACACATTTTTGCAAAAACCCGGAACTCTAGCGCTTTTCCCGAAAGAACCCGAAAGAACGAGTATGGCCGATTGGTAGTGTGTTAGCCTCCCAAGCACACTACCCGAGTTCGACTCCGGCCCGCGCCAAGATTTTTGCTTTTTACTCGAAATGCCGAGAGCTGTATTCTGAACCCCGATTTTTCACCTGTTGGCCGCTAAAAACGGATAGGTAAATCGAAATCAAACTCCCAGGACAGTTTTTGGGCTGGATTTGGGTTTCAAGAATTCTCGACAAATAATTTCATAATGTTTTCTATTTTTTCAGTATCACCCCAGTGCCGCGAGCCAAGCCGCCGACCGGAAAGCCAGCTGAACAGGTGCGTGGTTACGGTGGTTTTGCTCTTTAGGGGACTTGGACACGGAAACTGTTTAGAAGGGGTTGGCAAGTCTGAAATCTATGGAGAAAGCCTTTTTAAGGCCCAGGGACGCTAGAAAAATAGAGAAACCATTTAAAGGGATTGTGAAGCTCGAAATCTCTAGACAAATTTTTTTAAAGGGAGTGAGAAAAGTCAGCAATCTCGAGGAGAAAGTTAGGAAGGCTAGGAAGAATTTTTATAAAGACGCTCTAAAATGTATCGAAATTAAACCAGCAAGCCAAGATCGTCATAAAGCCATGTAAAATTTGTCGAAAACTCTGTTTTAAAGCCCGGAAAAATCGGCATAAACTAAATCTTGACCTGCGGGTCCCTTTAAGTTTTTTAACCATCAAATATCATCAAAAAAGTTTAGAAATGTCGATTTTAAGGGACTTTAAAGCGAGCCAGGAGGCTGAATTCTATAACAATGCAAAAACGCCCTCCGCTGATTCATCAAAATTTTCTCAATATCCCAGGCTTCCAGAAAAAACAAGGATATACCCCAAGCAAAATCCGTCTTTTCAGCAAAAAATGCAATTAGGCGCCCTGATCTCAGGGCGGTGGGAAATGAAAGGGCCCCGGGAACAATGGGAAGGCGGTCTGGTACACGGCGCACAATATAAAAGGCAGGGATCGGAGGGGGCGACCGTCTAGGGGAGTGCCGCGTATCGACTACCGTAGTCGAAGCCTATACCTAAGCCTAATCCTTAGCCCAAGCCTAAGCTCGAATGCAGGAATCGTTCCCGGCCATCCCCGACTTTCTCGCCGCGGCTCAGGACCCACGGTCCGTCAAGCTCGTCCAGCAACCCTCTCGTGCTCAGGTGAAGCCCAATCAACAACCACAGGTGGGTGGATTTTGGAATACGGTAGGAAGGGCATCAGATAGAGCATCTTTTCTAGCCTTAAACTACAAATTCCTAAATTTTTGGTCATTTTTGGCACGAAACGCTGTGGTCAAATGGTTAAGCTCTCGCCTACCAGCCACAGGGTCAGGGTTCGATCACCGCCGGTGCAGAAGCTTTTATTTTTTTGACTAGGAGCTTGTCCGGGGTCTATTTTAGCAAATTTAATATAGAGGCAAAGTTTAACTGATCATTGGATGCTTGTTAAATGGTTAAGCTCTCGCCTACCAGTCTCACGACCAGGGTTCGTCCCCCGCAGGTGCGGGACTTTTGCTTTTTGCTGAAAAGTTAGTGAATGCCCTTTTAAGCGCATTGTCTAGTCTTAAGTAATTTTCTGATTTTTCTAACCCATTTTCGCTTCAGAAAATGGCCGTGTTCGACCACGGCGCGTTCGGCGGGGCCCGCGAAGCGCCCCAGGCTCCTTCGATCGACGGGATCGAGTACCCACGAGCGGCCAGCTGGGCTGCAGGGACTCTGACGAATTTGCTGTCTGATGATAAGGGTAGGAGTTTTTGGAAGTTTTAAAGGGGTCGGCAAGACACGTTATGGGTCAAAGATTTACATGGTGTAATGAATTACAAATTTTTATTGACCGACGGCAATTCGTTTGAGTGGACTTTTTAAAGGGATGGTGACAGTCGAAAAACCTAAAATTTTCCAGGTCGCCAGCTGTTCCGCTGCTTCCTGTTCGACGCCCTTGCCGAGGAGAACCTCAACTTCCTCGAGGCGGTTGATAAGCTGAAGAAAATGAGGCAAAACGATGAGAAACAGGTGCAAAATTTTATAGTTTTTTATGCCTTTCCACGTTTGGGGTTTTTTATATTAATAATTTCAGGCATTTGCCAAGGAGATTGTCGACTGCTACTCCCCGTACGTCAACTTGAGCAGCGGCGCCATGCAGGTAGGCACTAAAACGTGGATGTAATTTTACATTTTTTAGGTCGATTAACGTCTTTAATTTATGAAACCCCACCAATTTACTTTTTTTTTAGAAAATCAAAACCGCAGCCGCCACCGACAACCCCGACCCGAACGAGTTCGCCCCGGCCTGCAAAGAAGTATAAAGTCGCAACTCGCTAAAATCCATCCTTTCCAGGTCCGGCGCCTCCTCGAAAACGATCAGTTCCCGCGCTTCCGGCGCTCCGAGTGCTACTTGAAATACCTCGAGGTGAGGAGGCTAGCAGAGAGCATTGAGGAATTCGAATTCAGGAGCTGCTCCCACGCAGCTACGCCGAGAAGTGGGCAACGTCTTTTGAGGCGCTTCTTGGAAATCATGTAAGTTTTATTGGACTCCTATTAATCTGTAGCTGCCGTAAAAAAGCTCCCTGAATTCCGCTTAAACCGAACTGCTTCAGGTCGGCCGCCAGTATTTCCGCGTCTTCTTGCGCAGCATCCACGCCGAGGAGAATCTGCGTTTTTGGGAGGTGAGTCCGAGCTTTGCAGCGGATATTCTGTTGATGTTCGCCGCTTAAATAATTTTGATACATTTTGATACCCGTTGAACTCCTTCAAGTCGTCGTATCCTTATCTCTAGGAATCATAGAATCAATAAGAAGCATGCAGAATTTCGAATGCGGTAAAATACCTCGAACTCCTTCAGGCCGTCGTCGAGTTCCGGGCCACGAAAAACAAGAGCCCGGCGATGCTCAACCTGGCTAAGGTCATCCTGCAGTCCTACCTGGCCGAGGGGCAGAGCAACGAGGTGGGCAAGGAAGGAAATCGATTACGCCATAAAAAAAGCTGCTAACCCGTGCTCCTTTCAGGTGTTCCTCCCCTTCGGTGTCCGCCAGGTGATCGAGCGAAAAATTGCCGACCAGGAGGTGGACATCTCCCTCTTCGACGAGGCCATCAAGCATATTGAGCAGGTGCGGGGGAACGGCGCATTTTAGAAAACCAGGCTAACGCAGGGCCATAGGTGTATTTCGTACTTTATAGGCGGAGATTTTGCCTTCCTGGTGCCTTTAAAATCCAAAAAATAAGGGTTTAACCCAATTTTAACGCGTTTCCGGTACCGTACCCTTCTAGGTGCTCCGCAACGATCCATACGTCCGTTTCCTGCAGTCGAAAGAGTACATCGATCTGCTCGGGCGTCTTCACTGATTTTCAGCCATTTTTTCGGAATATTCCTGTCATTATCGATCTCATTTACATAATTTTTGGCATATTAATTAGCATTTTGCAGTACCAACGCCTAGTTATTCAAATTAACATGCGGATAGTCGGATAAAGGATGCAGTGTTGGAGTGGCAAACCACGAAAAGTCTCTCTCGCTCGCTCGCTCTCTCTCTCCCCTTTCTCTCGCTTCATCTATCCCGGTGTCTCTCTCGCTCTCTCTCTCTCTCTCGCTGACTCTTTCTCGTCCTTCCTATCTCTTATCTCACTATCTCGCGCTGTCTCGCTGTCACTCTCTCACCCGCTCTCGCTCTCGATCTCCCGCTCTCCCTCTCTGTTTTTCTCTCTCTCCCTCCCTCACTCTCTCGCAATATTTATTCATCAAAAAATAAATGCAATTCAAATAGTTCTGGCTAGGTGGCGGTTGCTGCCGACGCGGCGGCTTTTTGCTTCTGGTTCTTTCGCTCGACGATGCGTGCGTACTCGTCCTTGAAGATGCGCAGCCGGTCGTCGAGTTGGATGACGTTTTCCTGAAGGCCAAGGGGTTACGGTAGCCCATACACTTTTTACCCTAGCAAAATTGTCGAGCATGCATACGTGGAGGAAGAGGTATTGGTAGGCCGATTGGATGCCCTGAAAAAGGTATATTTAGTGTGTGAATCGGCCCGGAAATCGCGAATTTCATAACTGTCGCCAGCCCTTCAGAAAATCGATGGGCGGCGCGACTTCAACGCGTTCAGTCGCCGCTCCAGGACCTCACCTTAATGCGCTGTCGTCGAATCTCCTGCACGACGTCGGCCATCGGGCGGTTCGGGTCGTTGCTGATGCACACGCTCGCGTAGTCGATGGCTGAAAAATCTCTTTCTTTCTCACGCACGCTCTCTCTCTATCTCTCTCGCTCCCACTCTCTCACTCACTCTCTCTCTCTATCTCGTTCCTCTCTCCACCCACCAACGAACGTCACCGATCTCCCAATCCCCGCCGAGCAGTGCACCACCACCGGCCGCTTGCCCTGCTGCCGATCCTAAAAAAACCGGGCAGGCTAGCAAACACCCTTTGCTATGACCCACCTTCATCCACCCGTACAGCTTGACAATGTCGTCGGCATTTGCGGGGGCCGACTGATCGGGCCAGTCTGGCAACAGCACATGCTCAAGCGTCACCGACTTCAGCCCCAGCGTCTTGCTGCTGACGTGCAGCTTGGTGACGCGGGCGCTGAGGGGAAGACCGATAGTCGAGCCCTCGCCGTCATTTCGCACCGTCACCTCGCCGCACTGCATCTGGTCGGCCGGCTTCTCGGGCAAGTACCGCGCGCATTTCTCTTTTTCGCCTGGAGATGAACAGTAAGAGAGGAGGGAGAGAGGGAGAGTGAGAGAGAGCGAGTGAGCGAGAGAGAGCGAGAGAGTAGCTATTCTTACCCTCAACGTAGTCGCATAGCTGGAGGATGATCCGCACCTTTTCCTGCAGCATCATCGACCTGTAAGTGTGGAAAGTGTAAGAATGAGTGAGAAAGCGAGAAAGAGAGAGATGGGAGACCTACCAAAAATCATCCACCGTACTGTCCAACGGCCCCTGGGCGCAGATGTAAGCGGACCCATGGCTCGGCACCCTCACCCAGCTTGCGTGGATGTACCCGTGCTCGACGTGGCGGAGGACGACACGTGATTTCTCGGCCAGGGGGATGTTTGGGTATCTGAGGTTCGGGTGCTGTCAATGGCCCATCAATGATACCTATTCTTAGCCTCCTGCAACCTCTCGGCCCCGCCGTCCTTCTCCGCGTTGTCGGCCGTGTCGTCGCGGATCGACTCGAACTCGCGGAGGATTGATTTCACTTTCTAAGGAAGGTTATTGGATAGTAAACCTGTACAGCTACCGTAGTCAGTATCCGCTCGCACCACTTGCGCTGGTTCTCGGTGTTCGGCTTGAAGGGGTGGGACTCGTGGGCTTGGGGACGCTCGCCGGAACCCGAGTTGTTTCTGAAAAAATAAGCCCTTCGAGCACCAGCGGGAAAAACCCGTACTTCTTGAGGTTGGGCGGCTCGAGACTGCCCGAATGCTCGAGTCGGTTTCTTGGCAGCAGCAGGCGCTTCTTGGCTCTGTTGCCGCTGGTGTTCGGCTCCCGACTCGCCGCATCCGGGCTACTGCTCATCGGGCCGCCACCTGTCGCCTCTTCCGTCTTCATCGCGTCCGTGTTCTGCAACAGGTTCAGATTGGATTAGGCTTCGGCTTAGGCCTAGGCGGCTTAGGCTTCGGTTTGAGCTCAGGCTTGGCTTAGGCTTAGGTTTAGGCTTAGGTTTCTGCTTATTCTTAGGCCTGGCGTTGGCTTGGCTTAGGCTTGGCTTAGGGTTGCCTATCTTAAGCTTTTGCATTGGCTTCGGCTTCAACTCCCAACCCTCACCAGCTTCTCATTCGATGTCTTTGTCCGCTGACTGTGCTGCTCGAGGGTGGCGTCGCGAAGCTTGGCCTCCTTGGAGTTGCGGGTGCGCGTCAACGATTCCGAGTTGTTCCCGTCAACCGCGTTCCCTCCCTTTCTGCAGCCCACCGTCAGCGCCAGGGTCAGGAAGAGCGAGGGGAGAGATGCTAAAGAAGGGCTTTTTAGGCTAGGCTTCAGGCTAAGCTGAAGCTCATGCTCACCGAGTAGTAGATGGAGTAAACTTGGAATAATCTGAGCAATATAAAACATTGTCTCTGTGTCTTCTCTTCTTCTTTAAATAGTAAAGCGAATAGGAGGAGGAGGGGGTATAAAATGAATGGAGAACGAGCAAGACTTGGCGGCTTTTTATATGAGGCCGTCATGCAAATTCCTGCCGCTGCATAGATGCAAATTTCAGGGAATTATGCAAATTTTAACGTGTAAATTCCGATCCGTCATGCGCTAAAATCAGGCGAAAAAATCGGAAGTCGGACTTTCATTACCGAGTCGTCTATATGCTAATTTCAATACGCTGATTGACAAAATTTACAAGCTCGAATTAACATCCCAATTTTAATAAAATTTAGCATACACTAATTAGCATAAACGATTAACCAATTTTTCCAGGTTTCTCGACCCGTTCAGTCGATCCCAGCGGATGCCAGCCGTCCGGGAAGTCGACTACCAGTCGTTTGTGGATCGACTACTCGCAGGTTGGGCTTTTCGCTCCAAATTGTACATTTTAAAGGGATTGGGAAGGCAAAAATTCGGTAAGAGTCTAGAAACCCCCCCCAGCCGGCACCAACTTTTGTATCTCGGCTCCCCTTTGTGCTAGCGAGCTATAAAGTATACCAAAATGTTCGCCGTGGGCTAATTAGTATGACTACATTGCAGTTCAGCCGAAAAAAGTAGCGAAAAATAAAATTAAGGAAGGTAGAAAAGTTGAAAAGTTGGCTGGGGGGGTTTCCTAGACTTAAGCCAAAAATTCTTAAGCTGATGCACTTCAAAATACCTTTAAATCCGAAAAACAAAAAACACCGGAAAATGCTTCTTTCTAGTGAACGACCTCTCGCAACCATCCCTCACGCGATGCGTCTTGCAGGCCGAGATCGAGCAGGTGATCATCGACTGCCGGCGGGTGGTGATGACGCAGCCACCACTCATACAGCTCGACCCTCCTATTAATGTGGGGAGGATGTCCTGATTTTGCTTCGCTCTCGCTCTCGCTCACTTCCATTATTTTTGGTACCAGATGGTTACAGTCGCTTCGCGACTGCAACCATCTGGCCTTCGGGCTACCCTACATGTCCCACTCCACCACATCCTTTCCCACCTCCATCAATACCCCCGATAGCCGAAATCCCCTTCAAAAACTACCTAAATACCTTCCTGATGGCTTCAGATACCCCCCATGGCTGAAATCCCCTTCAAAAACTACCTAAATACCTTCCCGATGGCTTCAGATACCCCCCATGGCTGAAATCCCCTTCAAAAACTACCTAAATACCTTCCTGATGACTTCAGATACCCCCCATGGCTGAAATCCCCTTCAAAAACTACCTAAATACCTTCCCGATGGCTTCAGATACCCCCCATGGCTGAAATCCCCTTCAAAAACTACCTAAATACCTTCCTGATGACTTCAGATACCCCCCATGGCTGAAATCCCCCTTCAAAAACTACCTAAATACCTTCCTGATGACTTCAGATACCCCCCATGGCTGAAATCCCCCTTCAAAAACTACCTAAATACCTTCCTGATGGCTTCAGATACCCCCCATGGCTGAAATCCCCCTTCAAAAACTACCTAAATACCTTCCTGATGACTTCAGATACCCCCCATGGCTGAAATCCCCCTTCAAAAACTACCTAAATACCTTCCTGATGACTTCAGATACCCCCCATGGCTGAAATCCCCCTTCAAAAACTACCTAAATACCTTCCTGATGGCTTCAGATACCCCCCATGGCTGAAATCCCCCTTCAAAAACTACCTAAATACCTTCCCGATGGCTTCAGATACCCCCCATGGCTGAAATCCCCCTTCAAAAACTACCTAAATACCTTCCCGATGGCTTCAGATACCCCCCATGGCTGAAATCCCCCTTCAAAAACTACCTAAATACCTTCCTGATGACTTCAGATACCCCCCATGGCTGAAATCCCCCTTCAAAAACTACCTAAATACCTTCCTGATGACTTCAGATACCCCCATGGCTGAAATCCCCTTCAAAAACTACCTAAATACCTTCCTGATGGCTTCAGATACCCCCATGGCTGAAATCCCCTTCAAAAACTACCTAAATACCTTCCTGATGACTTCAGATACCCCCCATGGCTGAAATCCCCTTCAAAAACTACCTAAATACCTTCCTGATGACTTCAGATACCCCCATGGCTGAAATCCCCTTCAAAAACTACCTAAATACCTTCCTGATGGCTTCAGATACCCCCCATGGCTGAAATCCCCCTTCAAAAACTACCTAAATACCTTCCCGATGGCTTCAGATACCCCCCATGGCTGAAATCCCCCTTCAAAAACTACCTAAATACCTTCCCGATGGCTTCAGATACCCCCCATGGCTGAAATCCCCCTTCAAAAACTACCTAAATACCTTCCTGATGACTTCAGATACCCCCCATGGCTGAAATCCCCTTCAAAAACTACCTAAATACCTTCCTGATGACTTCAGATACCCCCCATGGCTGAAATCCCCTTCAAAAACTACCTAAATACCTTCCTGATGGCTTCAGATACCCCCCATGGCTGAAATCCCCCTTCAAAAACTACCTAAATACCTTCCTGATGACTTCAGATACCCCCCATGGCTGAAATCCCCTTCAAAAACTACCTAAATACCTTCCTGATGACTTCAGATACCCCCATGGCTGAAATCCCCTTCAAAAACTACCTAAATACCTTCCTGATGGCTTCAGATACCCCCCATGGCTGAAATCCCCCTTCAAAAACTACCTAAATACCTTCCCGATGGCTTCAGATACCCCCCATGGCTGAAATCCCCTTCAAAAACTACCTAAATACCTTCCCGATGGCTTCAGATACCCCCCATGGCTGAAATCCCCTTCAAAAACTACCTAAATACCTTCCTGATGACTTCAGATACCCCCATGGCTGAAATCCCCCTTCAAAAACTACCTAAATACCTTCCTGATGACTTCAGATACCCCCCATGGCTGAAATCCCCTTCAAAAACTACCTAAATACCTTCCTGATGACTTCAGATACCCCCCATGGCTGAAATCCCCCTTCAAAAACTACCTAAATACCTTCCCGATGGCTTCAGATACCCCCCATGGCTGAAATCCCCCTTCAAAAACTACCTAAATACCTTCCCGATGGCTTCAGATACCCCCCATGGCTGAAATCCCCCTTCAAAAACTGCCTAAATACCTTCCTGATGGCTTTAGATACCTCCCCTAGGCGAATGCCCCTTAAAAACTAAAATAACTACCGACCGGATCCGTGGAAGAAAAATTGAAATGAAATGGCTCCCGTGAAAATTTTCATCCAGGAAACGCACGCCACCTGGCTCACTATGTCCAAAATCACCCCAACCTCCATCCCCTCCCCTTTTTCTAAGGAAAAAACTTTCAAAGTTAATTTTAATAATTTAAACTAAAACTTTTTCATAATTTTTTTATCAGTTTGGGGGTTTCTGACCACGCTCTATCCGAATTCGAAGAGAGCTAAGCTCTAGCTCTTTTCCCCTTCGAGTTGAATTCGGCTTCGGACGGACGGACAGACGCGTCAAGAAAATTATTATAGTTGATTCTCTCTCTATCTCCCTGTCTTTCTCTGTCCCTCTCTCTCTCTCTCTCTCTCTCTCTCTCTTTCTCTCTCTCTCTCTCTCTCTCTCTCTCTCTCTCTCTCTCGCTCTCCACTCTTTCGCTTTAGATCTGCGGCGACATCCACGGCCAATACACAGACCTTCTCCGTGTCTTCAACCGCTGTCGCTACCCGAGTCAGACCAACTACCTCTTCCTTGGCGACTACGTCGATAGGTGCGTAGCGTAAGCGTAGGCTTAGACTTTGGCTTAAGCCTGCTACTGATGTCTACGAACCCATTTAGAGGCAAGCAACAGCTGGAGACGATCTGCCTGCTGATGGCCTACAAGATTTTGTTCCCGACAAACTTCTTCATCCTGCGCGGCAACCATGAGTGTCGATCGATAAATAAGGTAGATCTTGGGATCGCTTTATCTCGCTTTCGCTCTCTCCCTCTCTCTCTCTCTCTCTCTCTCTCTCTCTCTCTCTCGTTCTGTCTAGCTATCTTTCCCAGGTCTACGGCTTCTACGAGGAGTGCAAGCGGCGGTACAACACGCGATTATGGGAGTCTTTTCAGGTACTAACATTGAGATTTCGAGAGACTAGGCTTAGTCTCAGGCTTAGGCTTAGGCCTAGGCTTAGGAGTTTAGGCTTAGGCTTAGACTTAGGAGTCTAGGCTTAGGCTTAGGCTTAGGCTTAGGCTTAGGCTTGAGCTTAGGCTTAAGCCGCTTGAATCCCTCTTTCCAGTGCCTATTCAACTGCTTGCCGTTCAGCGCCCTCGTCGGCGGGCGCATCTTTTGCATGCACGGGGGGCTGTCGCCGGATTTGATGAGCTGGGATCAGCTCGATGATGTAAGGCAAATTTTCCGGATTTTTTGATGTTGGCCAAGTTAATAGACTCAAAAAAATTAAAGAAAAAACTCCCGTTTTCTTCTTTCAGATTAACCGTCCAATCGATCCGCCGAATCGCAGCCTGCACATGGTCAGCTCTTTCTCTCTCTCTCTCTCTCTCTCTCTCTCTCTCTCTCTCTCTCTCTCTCTATTCCTCCCTCTAATATACCTCTTCCAGGACCTCCTCTGGTCGGATCCGGAGCAAAAGCTCGAAGGCTGGGCCGCAAACAGCCGCGGCGTCTCCTACATCTTCGGCGAGGGCATCGTCCACGAGTTCTGCCTACGCATGGACATTGACCTGGTCGCCCGGGGCCACCAAGTTGTCCAGGACGGCTACGAATTTTTCGCCGACCGCAAGCTCGTCACGATTTTTACGGCTTCGAGGTGGGTCAAGCCTAAGCTAATCGCAGCATAGTACTAAGCTAAGCCTAAGCCAAGCCAGCCAAGCCTAAGCCAAGCTCAACCTCTCTCTTTCGTTCTCCAGCTACTGCGGCGAGTTCGACAACAACGGCGCCATCATGGTGGTGGGCAAGCAGTTGGAGTGCAGCTTCGAGGTGCTGCGAGCCAATCAGGGCGTCATCAAGGTAGAGTTTTAGTGCGTAATCGATTACGAGTCTCCCTCTCTCTCACTCTCTCCCTCTCTCTCACTCACACTCTCGCTCGCGCTCTCTCTCTCTCTCTCTCTCTCTCTCTCTCTCTCTCTCTCTCTTCAGCGTCTTCTTCAGGTTCGCTCCACCAAGAACCGTAGCGCCCGACGCAAGAAGAAGTAGCCGAAGCCGACAAAGCCCCGCCTCGCCTCGCTTAATATATCCTTACCGACTCGATGAACTAGACGAAAACGTTTATATATACATCACATAACTCGCTGCCTTTTTCATGATTTTTCTTTTTTGGTGTTTTGCTTTTACTTGGTGTGCGGTGAATAAACGGCTTAATGTGTTTCGCGCTTGGCTTATTTGGCTTCAGCGGCATCAGCGGCTTCAGCGACTTAACATGAATTTTCGGTTCTTTTGCATTATCGGGGGGAAATTCTTTCTTTTCTATGAACAAGGCAAGTTTCAGCCAGATTGACCAGCTGGTTTTAAAGTTATAGCGAAAATACTTTTCATTTTTAATTTAATACCAGGGTTGAAAAACCGCTTCGCGGCTTTTCAACCCTGGACCCGTTTAGGACATCTGAAATTTGACTTTACATAGGGCTTGCCGAATGCCGATCACCAAAAAATGAAAAGCGCACCCTCCCTCCCTTTTTATAGGCTACGGCCACTTCCGGTCAATGCTAATTGCCTCCTAACAAAAGGTTTTTTGATATATTTACAAAAACTTAATTTTAATAGCGAAAACAGCCGATTTTCTTAAATTTTATATGTGTGCACCCATCTCGGGACCATTACGCACCTAATGACGTATCATACATACCTTAAAAACCTTCCCCTGAGGCTGTAGGTGCGGTACATACTTACGGAAGTTGCATGCAAATATACACACACACACAGACACTATTTTTTTATATATAGTAGGATGGGGATCTTTGAAATTTGCATCAAATAAATGCGTTATTCTTGCATTTACAAGCCGATTTTGCATAAATTTCGCTGAAAAGTGCCATTTTTTTGATGGAGCGTTTGGAAAACGATTGCTCATGTAGCGAGAAAATGATCAGCAAGAACGATGAATACCAAGCCTCATGGCGGAAACTATCGTTGAACGCTTGAGCGAACGGAAAATTTTTCAGGTTCTGCGTGCGGCGGTCCACTCCCCCCCATCCCTTTTGCCCGTTCTCTGTGATTCTAGCACAAAAACTTATAGTTTAACAACTCAAAATGTAGGAAATGATCTCACAGAATCAAAACTGAAGACCAAATAGCGGAATTCTACTGTAGAAAAAAGTTATGAATTTACAAAAGTTTTCGCTGCGGGAGCCTTTTCGACCCGACCGAGTTTCGACCCGGGTCGATAACAACCCTGCCAGCGGGCTGTGAGAGCGTATTTCAGGGCCCCGGGGAGTCATAGAACCAAACAGGGACTAATGGGGAAGAATCAGAATTTTTGCCCTTTTTAAGCTTAATTTTCACCAAAAATGACTTTTTAATTAAAAGTCCGCGGCAAATTTGGAAGCGGATTTTCGGAATCAGCGAAAAATCCTGCACAGGTTGCACTTGGCCCCGAATCGAAACTCCAACTTGAGTAAAAACACGTTACAGTAACCTCTATTTTTTCACCTGTATCCCTACCAGTTTCAATTATACACTAGAGATGTTACGCATACGAATACGATGTGCTACTTCCGGCAGATTAGCCCGATATGCATATCTGATTTGAGATAGAATGCCGGTAATTCGAATACGACGATCGTATTCGAACAAGCTTCGGCTGATTCCGACGTGGTGATCTGGCAAGTCGGCTTCACGTCGGGATAAAAAGCTAATTTCAAATTGAAGACGAAATGCTATGCAAATATCAAAATATTGACACATCCACCGGAAATGACCGAGAAATTGGCACCTAAATCTATTCAAATTATGCATATTCTGACTACTTGTTTCCATTTTCCGACCGTTTTCTTCGTAATATTGCTTTGCATCCCAATTAGCTTATTGTCCCGATGTGACCCGTTTAAACGAATACGAACGTCGCATTCGCTTGGTTCCGACCCTAATTCGAATACGATGATCGAGTCGGAAATAAGAAATCTTTGATTCCGACGGCCTATTCGAATACGACGCGTAACTCCCATGTCGTATTCGTATTCGTAACATCTCTAGTATACACCAGGGTTGAAAAGCGACTGCTCAGTTTTACACAGCTGTTTAGCATGTCGGGATTTTGGCGTAGCCCCAATGCTATCAATTTCAGCCGGCCGATCCTGGTGCACGACAGTGCCGGAATCGGCTGGGCGGCCGTCTTAGTGTTGGCTGAGATGGTTCTGGAAAGGATCCGAAAAGGCATGGGCAGCTGCCCGGAATGTCTCCTAAGCGACGTGCGAGAGCACCGGGCCAATGCCATCGAGACCGAGGCACAATACCTCTTTTGCACAAGATCCTCATCGACCATTTGGCGGAGGTAATATCTATCTGTAGAGCGTCGAAAAACCCCGGTATTGGAGTGTTAGCGGGGGGGGGGGGCTGTGTCGAAATTTTATACAGGGTGCGTCAAAAAAAAAGAACCAAGTTTGCACCAAAATATCTCGCTTATCTTTGAGAATCGAAGGTACGTTACCATGCCAGAATGCTTAAATATGCTGGGCATGAAGATTTAACACAACTAGATTTTTTCGATTTTTGGCGACGTATCAATACAAATGACACCCGAAAACTTGCGTTCCGGCAAAACTTCGTTTACATTTTTTTAGGATTGCTGGTGGTCGAACACTTCCAATTTTTACAGTGTAGGTACCTAAGGGCTGCCCCTACACACATCCGAAATTATGGAATTTTTGAAGGTCAGGTTGGCAATTTATAGCGTGCTCAAATCCTATCCTATAAGCGAGAAAAGATGTTTGTTTTCTGTAATGACGATTTCTCGGCCGTCAGGCCGAATTTCGCGCTGATTTTTGGCATGGAGGTGGAGAAATGCATTTGCCAGACACGCATTTTTTTTTTCCGAAATTCTTTCATTTAACAATTTTACAAGCAAAATAGTAAAAATCCTTAACAAAATGGGCGATGAGCCGTGGTGTTCGGGCGATAACTCGAAGCCCAGATGGAATTTCGGGCTGAAATTTGGTATGAAATCTGAATAACACAATTTGATTTTTTCGATTTTTGAGTACGCAACTGTACTATTGACGCTGGTTACGACCGAAAATTGTGCGTTCTTGAACGGGTGGTGGAAAAATTCTGATTTTTGGCCCAAAAATAGTATAAATTTGTAGAAAGGTAATAGCAAAGTCTTAGAATTTTTGAAGGTTTAGTTCTTTTTTTAAAGACATAAAAATCGATGCGACATTTCGTATGACCTTCCTTCCAGGTAATCTACGCGAAGGGCCGGAGCGATGTCGGCCGATTCAAATACGAGTACAACGAATTCCTCAAAACCCTGAACGGCGAGAAGAAAATCCCGGAGGATTGGCGATGATACGCCGGAAGGAAGCCTGGACACCCAATTAAAGCCAATTTAATTCGAAAACTTCATCGATTGATTGTCTAGGATTTATCGCGTGTCTCTGTCGAATAAACATTTAAGAGCGAAAATGTGAAAAATCGGTGAGCGAGCGAGAGAGAGAGATATAGAGAAAGAGAGGGCGAGTGAGAAAGAGCGAGAGAGAGAGAGTGAGAGAGAGGGCCTGTCCACCGGGTGATGCGAATCATCGTTAAACGTCTTCTTCACGTTCGCCCGACGCAAGAAGAAGTAGCCGAAGTCGACAAAGCCCCGCCTCGCCTCGCTTAATATACCCTTACCGACTCGACGAACTCGACGAAAACGTTTATATATACATCAAATAACTCGCTGCCTTTTGCATGATTTTCTCTTTTTGGTGTTTTGCTTTTACTTGGTGTGCGGTGAATAAACGGCTTAATGTGTTTCGCGCTTGGCTTATTGGGCTTCAGCGGCATCAGCGGCTTCAGCGACTTAACATGAATTTTCGGTTCTTTTGCATTATCGGGGGGGGGGGGGGGGGAAAATTCTTTTGTAATAATCAAGAAATGGCTAATACACTTTTTTATCATAATCTAGAAATGCTTAATAAATTATAGGAAGTATTCTCATAAAGTTTTTAGTAAAATACACTGAACTAATTAACTAGAAAAACTAGCAAAAAAATTTCAAAACGTCGAAATTTTGGTCGAAGAATCTATATTTTTGAAACTGTTTTTATAAAAATTTGTAATTTTACGGTTAGGAATAGCAAAAAAAAACGCTTACAAAGAAAAACCCCCCCCCCCCCCCCGATAATGTAAAAGCACCGGGTTTTCAAATCGCAATCATTATGGGGAGTGGTATCCGCCGTCTTACCCCAAAATTAGCATTCAGTGTCAATTTTAATAAATGTTACTGAATTGGGTGCCTAATTGGCATATCATTTTGTCGCGCCACCAGACGTGCTAGAAATTACCCCGCCTGACGGCCTTCCAACTCCCTCAGCCCGATCTCTTCCGTCGTTATGGTGAGGAGCCCGAATGAGGTCGAACGGATTCGCCAAGAGATGCGTAAGATGCAAATTTTGGCTAAACTCTAGTTTACCCCCCCCCCAGGCGAGATAGTAGGCCTGGGGGAGAGGGCGCAGAGAAAAGGGGCGTCTGGGGGGGGGGGGGGGGTAAACTAGAGTCGTACCCACCTACCTGTGGATGACAGATAAATTTTTGGGAAAATTTGCTTATACGGTCACCTACTCAAAACCTAACTTTTGATACGTCAAAATGCTCAGCAAGAAGAGCTGATGCAATTTCCGTTAAGAAAACTTGGCGGCAAAAGCTCTATCTCGAGATATCATAAAAAAAGCAACAAAATGACGAAATATTGAGGGCGGCAGTAGTACGAAATGCAACAAAAGACAGAACGAATTCCAGAGGAAAACTCGGAAAGCTACGTAATGGATCATTTGCGCGTTTTTAAACCCGCACCAGGGTTGAAAAGCCGCTTCGCGACTTTTCAACCCTGGCCCCGTCTGCGTCCATGATATTCTTGGCTTTGCATAATGTTCGCGAATTCGGATGACGAAAAATGAAAAATGCTCTTGCCGTCCCTTTATATAGGCTGCCGCGACTTCCGGTGCATGCTAATTTGATCCTAACAAAGTGGGGTGTCCGATCCTACTATATATAAAAAAATAGTGTTTGTGTGTGTGTGTATATTTGCATGCACTTCCGTTAGGATGTTCCGCTCCTACAGCCTCGGGGAAGGGTTTTTTAGATAGGGAAGAAGCGACAATGGGTTTAGAATGGTCCGGAATCGACTGCACACACATAAAAATTTTGAAAAATTGTGGTTTTCGCTATTAAAAATAGGTTTTTGTAAAACCCGCTTTGTTAGGGGCAATTAGCATACGCCGGAAGTGGAAATAGCCTATATATCGGCGAAGAGAGGGCGTTTTCATTTTTTCCGTACCGGAGTTGGGGAGAAGCATGCAAATCAAAAACTTTCACAGGACCCAGTTGCAGAGCGTTCAAAAGACGCGGAGGATTTTCAAAAATTGCAATTTTCGCTGTTAAAATCAGGTTTTTTTTGTGAAATTTCTAACCCCCCCCCCCGCCACTTTGTGGGCTATTTGCATATTGCGCAAGGGTATTGGCCGGTTTTTCTCCATGCCGTTACTGCGATGGGTGCGTTTGAAAATCTTCGCGAGAGTTAATCCGGTCCGGGGTGATCTGCCAGGTGGCTAAGAAACTTTTTGGTGCTTGCCTGTTAACGGGGATGGGAGGATAAATTTTTCTCCAGCACGATACGGACCATAGGAACATGCCTACGGATATTGTCACACTTTACGTGATTTCTTTCCGAACATAGCACAACGAACTGCCTTCGGAAGTCGACCGTGATAAACATCTGTATGACGGTATAAAATGAACGAGGGCGATACATCCTACTAGACCTCCCGAACCCCCCCCCCCCCCCTAAACCCCCCTAACTAGGGGGGGTTGTAGGGGGGTTCGGAGGGGGGTTTAGGGGGGTTGGGAGGGGGGTTGTAGGGGGTTCGGGGTTGTAGGGGGGTTGGGAGGGGGGTTGTAGGGGGGTTCGGAGGGGGGTTTTAGGGGGGTTGGGAGGGGGGTTGTAGGGGGTTTTTAGGGGGGTTGGGAGGGCGGTTGTAGGGGGGGTTCGGAGGGGGGTTTAGGGGTGTTGGGAGGGGGGTTTAGGGGGGTTCGGAGGGGGGTTTTTAGGGGGTTGGGAGGGGGGTTGTAGGGGGGTTGGGAGGGGGTTGTAGGGGGGTTCGGAGGGGGGTTTAGGGGGTTGGGAGGGGGGTTGTAGGGGGGGTTCGGAGGGGGGTTTTAGGGGGGTTGGGAGGGGGGTTGTAGGGGGGTTGGGAGGGGGGTTGTAGGGGGGTTCAGAGGGGGTTTTAGGGGGTTGGGAGGGGGGTTGTAGGGGGTTTTTAGGGGGGGTTGGGAGGGGGTTTAAGGGGGTTGGGAGGGGGGTTTAGGGGGGTTCGGAGGGGGGTTGGAAGGGGGGTTCGGAGGGGGGTTTAGGGGGGGGGGGAGGGGTTAGGGAGGTCTACATCCTACTCTATATAAAAAATAGTGTTTGTGTGTTTGTGTGTGGACACTTTGCATAAATGGCTCGAAAAAACCGAGTTACCAAGATATCGGGCAGGGGGAAGAATTTTGGGACCGGACGAGACGAGAGGTATTTAGGGGTGGTCGAGGGCATAGATTACTGCAAGCTTATCAGATTTTTAATAAAATGACGATTTATACCTTATTTTAGCCAATTAAAAACATATGGAAATAAGCTCATTTGCATAAGAGCGTTAGGAAGCTCATTTCGGATTTTGTCACGCTCTCAGTCGGTCGGTTTTGTGATTATTAGGGTTGAGAGGTTGGCGCTAATTCGCTAGAATTATGCAAAGTGCCCAGCTTCGAAAGATCTCCGCGCAAAGGCCAGGGGTGAAAAGCCGCGTAGCGGCTTTTCAACCCTGGTTTTCCATGAAAAACTTAATTTTAATGTCGAAAACATCATATTTTGTAAAATCTAATATGCGTGCAGCCGTTCCCAGGCCATTACGCACCGAATGACGTATCGAACATACCCCTAAGTACTTCCCTTCTTGAGATACGACTGGAACAACCTGACGGAAACTATTTTTTTATATATACCCTAAAACCTCGTGTATAGGTCCGGTACAATTTGGTTGCGCACTAATACAAATGACACCAAATAATGTGCGTAGGGTACAATTCGGCCCAAAAGCTATGTAAGCCAAAAGAGCCGGTTCTCAGGGCCTCATGCAGCAATTTCTTTCATTAAACCACTCAAATTGTTGGAAATAGTCGAAATACGAACAAATATTCCATCCAAATTGCAAAAATACCATTCGTGAGCGGCGTTATTTGCAAGAAACCGAAAAACGAAACACACCTAATGACGGTCATACGGAATTACGGACGCTCCGTACACATGAAAATTTTCACCCGGAACTATACACGGGGAGGACCTATACACGAGGTTTTAGGGTAGTAGGATTTGCTTTTTCCACAGATTCTTTTGGCACTAGCTCGTATCCTACTATATATAAAAAAATAGTGTTTGTGTGTGTGTGTGTGTATATTTGCATGCACTTCCGTTTGGATGTTCCGCACCTACAGCCTCAGGGAAGCATTTTTTCGGTAGGGAAGAAACGTCATAGGGTGATTTTTGGTGAGCGGTTTTCGGCAAGGATTATGCAAAGTCAACAACTTCATCGATCCTAGACGGGGCCAGGGTTGAAAAGCCGCGTAGCGGTTTTTCAACCCTGGTCCGGATGAAATTGATTGAGCTAAGTAATGACGACGACGATCCCCGGCAGCTGCTGGAAAATCTGCGTATGCGTGAGAATCACAGGGGAAAATTTTATTTCGCCCCCCCGCTAACAGTGCAGAACCCAAATTTCTTGCCCACATTGATTGGTTTAGGTGCCGAGGAAGTGGAGCGCTTGAACGAGCAAAAATGGCAGCTGCAAATGAAACGCAAAGAGTGGGATGTTTTCCCGAAACCGCCCACACTAAAGGAGTGCTGGCTGGCACATCTGTCAATGCTGACTGGGGGAGGTCGGGGACTCTCGGGGATCCGACAAGATTTCAGGAAGAAAAAGCGGTGAGTTTGCTGAATCCCTCCCTATCAATATGCATAAAAAAAGGCTGAGATCTTGTTTACCCCCCCGAGCCGTAACTTTTCAGCCGATTCATTGCGTTTTGGACAAAAAAAGCGTGTCCAGTTTGCATGAAAAAGTCGAAAACCGAGCAAAAAATCTCGACATTTTTAAAATCGAAGAGACGTGCTGGACTCGCCTCTCCGAGAGCTTTCGATAAATACCTAAATCGTAGAAATCGGACAAGTCTGCGGCCGGCTAGGAGCGGGGGGAGGGAGCGGGTTGGAACACCCTGTATCCTACTACAGTGTGTGTCAAAACGATAGAGCCACCTCTTTGAACGCTATTATCTCGGCCCTCGTTGAGTTTGACGCCAAGCCAACTCGCAGGTCTTGTAGCGCTCGAAAAGGCGCATTTTTCCATATACTTGAAGTTTTTCAAAAATAGAGCACGCGATTTTTATAAGGAAAAGAACAAATAGAGCCAAAAAACCGAAGTGTCAAAACGATAGAGCCACACTTTACATATCATTAGCATCAGGTTTGAGCTTGCAAACTACATGCTAATTGCTAATACGAAGTTCAAGTCTATGCAGATTGGCATCACCCTGGAAAATCCGGAAGTCAGAAATGGAAAGTCACTTTGAATGTTCATTAGCATGTAGTTTGCAAGCTCAAACCTGATGCTAATGATATGTAAAGTGCAATTGTCGCAATTGCATGCAACTTCCGTCCGTATGTTCCAGTCGTATCTCAATAGGGGAGGAAGTTAAGGGTACGTATGATACGTCATTAGGTGCGTAATGGTCATGACACGACTGCACGCATATGAGATTTGTAAAAATCAGCTGTTTTCGATATTAAAATTAAGTTTTTGTGAAAATCTCGCTCGACCTCTTTGTTAGGAATCAATTTATATGCACCGGAAGTGGAGGAAGCCTATATAAGGGGGGAGAGGACGCGCTTTTCATTTTTCTGCACAGGAATTTAAGTATGTGGGGTAAGACGGAGGCCAGGGTTGAAAAGTCGCGAAGCGGCTTTTCAACCCTGGTATAAATCTAAATTGCACTCGAGCCTTTCAGGGTTGTCGACAAAGACAATGTGCGCGTATACTTGAAGAATATGCCGAAAAATCGATACAAAGACGTGCCATGCCTTGACGAGACGAGGGTCATCCTGAAAGATTGTGACAACGACTACATACACGCGAACTATATGTGCACTAAACGGTACGCCGAGGAGGTGACGCGCTTCATTTGCTGCCAAGCACCGAAGAAGGAGACGTTGATTGATCATTGGAGGTATAGTTAAGGAAACATTCACCTACCCCCCCCACAGCCGAAGGGTCTCAAAGTTTTCCGTATTTTCGCTTATTTCGTCGGGATTTTTGCAACGCCATTCGATAGAGCGTCGAAAAATATACTATGAGTTTTAATTTGAGCCTACAATAATGTAAAATAAAAAAGTTATAGCAAAAACAATCCTACTAAGGGGGGGAAGGGTAAAACGTAGCCGCTGTTTCCTAAAGCGTGGATAGGACCTCTCTAGGGGTACGAGGCCCTGTCCTTCGGCTATCCCCATCGGCCTGTTGGCTCATTGGTTTTGCGCTGGCTTGTCGCGCACAAGGCCCGGGTTCGACCCCGCGGCCGTGACAGGGCTGTTTGCTTTTTCATCAAAAGCTGAGAGTTGGATCTTTTCTAAATAAGACAAGCATTAAAATTTATACAATTAAAATAGTATTTGACAGAATTGTTCAAATTTTGCTTTTTGTTGCCATAAATATTTTATTTTTCGAGTAAGACTCCAGATAGTCCTCCCCCCCCGAGGTGGGCCCAAAATTGTGTATCTCGGCTCCCTGTTCATCTACAGGTGTGTCAAGTATACCAAAATCTTTGCCTAGCTCTGGCGAGTGTTTTGGTATACTGTACACACCTGTAGATGAACAGGGACCCGAGATACGGTAGGTGGGGGTTATCTGGAGTTTAGCCATTTTTTATTATCTTGGACTCAGATTCAAAAACTTTGGATGTTTTTTGACGCTCTACCGAATGGCGTTCAAGAAATTTTACTACAATGTGGAAAATGTCGAAATTACACCCCACGTCCTTATTAGGAAATCGCTTTTAAATTTTATTTGGGCTGTAACTAGAGATGTTACGAATACGAATACGACATGGGAGTTACGCGTCGTATTCGAATAGGCCGTCGGAATCAAAGATTTCTTATTTCCGACCCGATCATCGTATTCGAATTAGGGTCGGAACCAAGCGAATGCGACGTTCGTATTCGTTTAAACGGGTCACATCGGGATAATAAGCTAATTGGGATGCAAAGCAATATTACGAAGAAAACGGTCGGAAAATGGAAACAAGTAGTCAGAATATGCATAATTTGAATAGATTTAGGTGCCAATTTCTCGGTCATTTCCGGTGGATGTGTCAATATTTTGATATTTGCATAGCATTTCGTCTTCAATTTGAAATTAGCTTTTTATCCCGACGTGAAGCCGACTTGCCAGATCACCACGTCGGAATCAGCCGAAGCTTGTTCGAATACGATCGTCGTATTCGAATTACCGGCATTCTATCTCAAATCAGATATGCATATCGGGCTAATCTGCCGGAAGTAGCACATCGTATTCGTATGCGTAACATCTCTAGCTGTAACTAATTTTTCCTACATAATTTCGGTCTGAAATTCAAACTCTGAGTATAATTTTTGATGCTCTATGGCATGGCGTATTGAAAATATCGAAAAAAATAGAGATTAAGGCATAATAGTCACTTCTCAGGCTCCTAAATCATTTTTTTTAGAATGATCGAGCAAGAAGGGGTGGAGGTGATCCTGATGCTGTGCGACTACAAACTGGACGGGAAGGAAAAGTGCGCCGAATACATCCCGACCGCCGAAAAGCCGGAGATGACATTTGGCCCCTTTACAATCAAGCTGAAGAATACGGACAAGGTGGGACAGCTTGGGCTTAGGCTTAGGTTTAGGCTTAGGCTTATGCCTAAGCCCACTTGGGCTTGGGCGTGGGCTTAGGCTTAGGCTTATGGTTGGGCTTATGATTGGGCTTAGGCTTATGTTTAGGCTTATGGTTGGGCTTTTCAGGTAAAATGGGAGTGCGAGACGGCGGCCATCGTCAACATCTCGACCCTAGAAGTGCATAAGGAAGGCAAGGTGTTGACAGAAGTATTCCACTACCATTGGGTCGGCCTACCCCCTCGCGGTCTTCCCCCAGCCGATGGGGCATTCGTCGAATTCCTGTCGCAGATTGAGGTCAGACACTTCAACGTGTTTTCTACGACTTGCAGGCTTTTGCCAAGACGCGAAACCCCATGGGCCGTAAATATTGGTATGTCAGGGGATCTTGCGCGTGGGCGCGGTGGCGACGGCAGGCTGGAAATATCATCAAAAGATGCGCAAAAATGTTCTACGTCAAATTGTGTATTTTTTAAGATGCCACCGAGTTTTCATCTTCTTGAAGATTCGTGTTCTCTGGAATTAACAAAAGGCCTCTTCGCAGACGGCCTTTTAATGCCCAAAAAAATCAAAAAATAGGCTTTAAAAATTTTACTTGTTTAAAGCCTATTTTTTCGATTTTTATTTTATTTTAAAAAGATCCGAAAAATTTTTCTTAGTTTTGGATTTTTCACCAGAGAAAAATAAACAACAGCTGTTTAGCATTTCGGGGTTATGGCTGTCGGGATTTTGGCTGTGGGATTTTGGCGCCATCCCACCGCTATCAATTTCAGGCCGCCGATCCTGGTGCACGACAGTGCCGGAACCGGCTGGGCGGCCGTCGTCGTGTTGGCTAAGATGTTTCTGGAAGGGATCCGAAAGAGCATGGGCATGGGCGGGTACCTGGAATGTCTCCTCAGCGACGTGCGAGAGCACCGGGCCAATGCCATCGAGACCGAGGCGCAATACCTCTTTTTGCACAAGGTCCTCATCGACCATTTGGCGGAGGTAATATCTATCTGTAGAGTGTCGAAAAACCCCGGTATTGGAGTGTTAGCGGGGGGGGGCTGTGTCGAAATTTTATACAGGGTGCGTCAAAAAAAAAGAACCAAGTTTGCACCAAAATATCTCGCTTATCTTTGAGAATCGAAGGTACGTTACCATGCCAGAAGGCTTAAATATGCTGGGTATGAAGATATAACACAATTTGATTTTTTCGATTTTTGAGTACGCAACTGTACTATTGACGCTGGTTACGACCGAAAATTGTGCGTTCTTGAACGGGTGGTGGAAAAATTCTGATTTTTGGCCCAAAAATAGTATAAATTTGTAGAAAGGTAATAGCAAAGTCTTAGAATTTTTGAAGGTTTAGTTCTTTTTTTAAAGACAAAACAAATTTCCCCATTTTGCTTATTTTTACTTTTTAATTCGCAACTCGCTTCAAATACGCTGCCCATGGCTGATCTTTTGCAGATGGTATCTCCGAATGATCATCTTTAGCACAACACCAACTTTTACCTGATTCTATGGTATTTTAATATTGCTTGCTAAAACGTGCCCCAGGGGGATACTGTAGTTTTCGTTTTTCGTGTTTTTGTTTTTATTGTAAGCTGCGATTTTGCTAAAAATTTTATCATTGGTAAACACCAGTAAGGGCCATCTATTGGCCAAAGATCGCGAAGTTCTAGCCATACACCTTCCCAAAATATGCAAAAAACTTATTTTTGAATTTAGCCACGGAAATTTCTAAATATTTTGATGCATCGGACTGAAAACTACTATTATTTGTTTTCCTGAAAGATCGAAACGTTTCTATGGTGAAAAGAAGGAGAAAACGACGATTTTCTGTTTTCTACCGTAACCCGCCTGGAGCGCGTTTTAGCATCCCAAGCCAAAATTCCATAAAGTGCCGATTTTTCGATTCTAGACTGTTCTCCGGGTGATTGTGAGAACACATGCAAAAAACTACTTTATTCCTGTGGCAAATCACAAAGTTATGAAGGAAAGAGGAAAACCCCCCTCCCGGCCCCGATTTTGGACCCGCCGCCCTGGCTCGAAAATCGAATTTTTCGAAAATGAAAAAGGAACCGGGGTTTGGTGGATATAATTAAAGCACGCATCAAATTGTGTATGAAAGCAGAATTCTGGAATGATCTGGCTGAAGTTAATGGCTAATTTAGATTTAAAACCCGAAAATAACGTTTTTTGAAAAGCCGGCTTTCGGACGCTCTTATAAATTCGTTTGCCATGAAAGATTTTGTGTTTGCATGGGTTCTAGTTGACTACCCAAGCTGAGTTTATGCCAAAAAAGTCGGGGCTACTAAACCCTCGAGAATTTTTTTACGTCGCCTCGAATTCGGGTATATTTCGACTTTTCATGAATTTCTTTTGAAAGATCGGATGGCCCAATAAATTTGTAACAATAATCTTAGCATGCGCCCATTAAGTAGTATTAAATAAAATTATGACAATAATTCTAGCCGCGCAATTGAATTTTATAGACTGGCTCGAAGGTCTGCGAAATAGCACGAACCAACCGTTTTGGAGGCGCTAAAAGGCAACCTTCCAAAGGTGTACGGTAGCTACAAATTGTGTACATGACAGATGCACGCCAGTCCTACACAACTAAGCAAAGCAAACCCCGAAATTCTATCTGCTATTTTAGAAATATTTTTCCAAAGTTCAGTTTCGTCACCCCAAAAAAATCTATGACCAGGGGGTCGTCGAAAAACTCAAAAATCCGCGGATCTGAAAAAATTCTTTGATATTTTTGTGGGATTGTATCGAGCCTGTAGACATGCTAAAACAGCCTATCTTGAGGTTTCCACCATAGGTTTTTGTTATAATCGAAATTTACGAAATTTCTCCATATTAAACCAGTGGAAAATGACCGCTTCGCGGCCCTTTTCCACTGGCCCCAGTCTAGGAACCATATAATCCCCTTCCCTTTTTCAAGCCTGCGGCGCAAGAACCTGACTCTAGGAACCATTCCCTGGCCTGCGGCGCTAGCTACTGGTTTTTCTTCAGCATTTGGCCTGCGGCGCGAGAGCCCAGGCCAAGGGCCTTTTCTTTGGCCTGCGGCAGAACCCCGGGTCAAGGACCTATTCTTTGGCCTGAGGCGCTAGAGCGAGGGACTGGCCTAAATTTCGCATACCGAGAGCCTCGAAATATGTTTTGTTGTTGAACTATCAAAAAGCAAAAAGTTAAATTTGCTGAGGATCCGAACCCTCGTCCATGTGCGTGGTAGACCGGGCGTCAAGCCACTATACCAAAGGGGGACATGGGGATGCGATGCGGAAAAGCCTCTTCCGTCCTGGGGGCGCGGTCCAACTCGGGCGGGAGGACTTCTATTAATTTGGCAAAATCGCTTTTTTTAGTTTGAATGCGCCGAAAATTTGTAAAAATAATAAGATGCGCGTGATCCCCACTATCGAATACATAAGTGGTCCAAATTTCAGCCCGAAATTCCATCTGGGCTTCGAGTTATCGCCCGAACACCACGGCTCATCGCCCATTTTGTTAAGGATTTTTACTATTTTGCTTGTAAAATTGTTAAATGAAAGAATTTCGGAAAAAAAATGCGTGTCTGGCAAATGCATTTCTCCACCTCCATGCCAAAAATCAGCGCGAAATTCGGCCTGACGGCCGAGAAATCGTCATTACAGAAAACAAACATCTTTTCTCGCTTATAGGATAGGATTTGAGCACGCTATAAATTGCCAACCTGACCTTCAAAAATTCCATAATTTCGGATGTGCGTAGGGGCAGCCCTTAGGTACCTACACTGTAAAAATTGGAAGTGTTCGACCACCAGCAATCATAAAAACTGTAAACGAAGTTTTGCCGGAACGCACAGTTTTCGGGTGTCATTTGTATTGATACGGATGTATTGATACAAACTTGGTTCTTTTTTTTGACGCACCCTGTAGTGGCAAAATTTAGAATGGCGAAATTTCACAAGTGCGAAAAGCGAATGCCGAAATTGGCAGTGCCGAAATTTCGGTATTTCGAAACGCAAATTTAGAATGCCGAAATCTCGATATATCGTAATACAAATTTAAAATGTCGACATATCGATATGTCGCCATTGATAATGTCGAAATTCCGTACTGTCGAAATTGATAATATCGAAATTTCGTATTTGAAATTCAGAATGCCGAGTCGACATTTTGATATTCCAATTTTTGGTGTGCACATACAATTTCGGCTTTATTAAAAATATTATTGTGAATTTGCACTTTAAGAATTTCGACATTTAAGACCACCTGAAAGTACATAAAAATCGATGCGACATTTCGTATGACCTTCCTTCCAGGTAATCTACGCGAAGGGCCAGAGCGATGTCGGCCGATTCAAATACGAGTACAACGAATTCCTCAAAACCCTGAACGGCGAGAAGAAGATCCCGGAGGATTGGCGATGATACGCCGGAAGGAAGCCTGGACACCCAATTAAAGCCAATAATTCGAAAACTTCATCGATTGATTGTCTAGGATTTATCGCGTGTCTCTGTCGAATAAACATTTACTATTTTGGGAATGAAGATCGAAAATCTGAAAAACGGGTGAGGGAGAAAGGTAGTGTCGGCGATATACAAAGAGAGAGAGAGAGAGAGAGAGAGAGAGAGAGAGGGAAAGCGAGAGAGCTACAGAGACATAAAGAGAAGCGAGAGAACATAAACATAAAGAGACAGACAGACAGCGATAGAGAGAGCAAAATTTATTGCTTCCTAGCCCTTTCCGTCCATTTTTTCGCTGTTTCGAACGCTCCTTTCGACCTCTAGCACCCAGTAAAATCATAATTACCACCCCCAAACAGTTTCGCCGAAAATTAAATTGGTGTTTCTGGCGGAAAATGCCGGTTTCAAGTCTCCCGTCGCGACCAACCTAATTAAAGGGGGCCCCCAGCAGAGGGCCCTGCGGCTTATGACTTTTTGGAAGGCCGCCTGCAGTTATTTCACCGGGTTTTTATCGTAAAAATTAGACAATTATCGCTTCCGAAGCCGCGGTTAGGCTGAGGTTAGGCTTAGGCTTAGGCTTAGGCTTGGGCTTAGGTTAGGCTTAAGCTTGGGCTTAGGATTAGGCTTGGCTGAGGCTTAAGCTATCCCCGAGGCTTGTTATTGCCTTCAACGCCCGAGCCCTAGATACACTGGTGGACATAATTATAGCCTCAGTGAAAATTTTTCGAAAATCTCGATTACTGGCGGTGTTGGTTGAAAGCGTTCTATAACGGAAACTAGCGGTATTCTATCACGATTTCATAACACAAACCCTTTTTGTGATTCTCTGGACAAAAATTTTTTTAGGAATATTTTCCCAAAAAAGGCACTTTGAAAAAGGGACATAATTATAGCCTCACTTGGGTAACATTTAAATAAAAAATTAAATAATCGCACAAATCAATAAGAAACAATTGTAATAATGTTTGGCTAAACCATTTCATGTAATTTGATGGGGGGAGATGCCTCTCCAAGCCAGAATACAGGCGGGCGATCGACTTTTTGCTTCACCGGATGCGAGGTGGAGACAATCCTCTGTTACGACGCCATACTCTTTTCTTCTGCTTAGATTTTGAATACCGGGAAGCTTTGAACATGGCCAATCACGTTACAGTTAATAAAATTACACGGTGACGCTAAAAAACCAACTTTTAAGGGATTGGTCCGACTCTGGGGCCCATTTGGCTCGAAAAATTAAGGCTTCATCTTACTGTTAAATCGGATTCTGATTCGGATTCCGCCCGTCACCGAAGATGACGGTTTTGAGGAAGATACGGTAGGCTTCGGGCCCCCCAAAATTCTCCAGATCATTGTTTCCAATGGTTAGAGGCTCTCGCGTAGCCATCCGGAAAGGTCGCTTTGTAATGCGCAGAAAAAAAAACTGATTTGGCCGAAAAAAATTTCAAAGTGTTGCTGTGCCCGTTTGGAAGATCAGTTCTTCACGAGCAGGTAGGAAATGATGCTTGATCTTGACTTCAGGAACCATGTCAATAATTTCCAATTGTTCAACTCAAGAAACAGCACATTTCCAATCGAAATCAGGATCAGAATCCGATTTAACAGTAAGATGAAGCCTTAATTTTTCGAGCCAAATGGGCCCCAGAGTCGGACCAATCCCTTAAAAGTTGGTTTTTTAGCGTCACCGTGTAATTTTATTGACTGTAACGTGATTGGCCATGTTCAAAGCTTCCCGGTATTCAAAATCTAAGCAGAAGAAAAGAGTATGGCGTCGTAACAGAGGATTGTCTCCACCTCGCATCCGGTGAAGCAAAAAGTCGATCGCCCGCCTGTATTCTGGCTTGGAGAGGCATCTCCCCCCATCAAATTACATGAAATGGTTTAGCCAAACATTATTACAATTGTTTCTTATTGATTTGTGCGATTATTTAATTTTTTATTTAAATGTTACCCAAGTGAGGCTATAATTATGTCCCTTTTTCAAAGTGCCTTTTTTGGGAAAATATTCCTAAAAAAATTTTTGTCCAGAGAATCACAAAAAGGGTTTGTGTTATGAAATCGTGATAGAATACCGCTAGTTTCCGTTATAGAACGCTTTCAACCAACACCGCCAGTAATCGAGATTTTCGAAAAATTTTCACTGAGGCTATAATTATGTCCACCAGTGTATGTCCATATTCCAACCCGAAAAGGAAAAGCCAAACCCCAGCCAGTGGCGGGGTTCTCCACTGGACCGTGAAGCTTCGGGGGGCCCCAGTCGGCCAGGAAGGGCTACCTAGTCGTGTTAGTCGGCCAATACTGAGAGGCCGGAAATCGGCTGGCCGCTCGGGCCACCGATTTCTAAGTGAAATTATTTTCTCCAACCCTATGATTTTTTTCTTTCCGGTTGGCAAGCCAGCAGAGACCCTTTGGGAAGCGGCCAGCTAGCTGAGATCTTTGAGGAATCCAAATTAAATCCCTGACTCATTTTTTACAGTTTTCGGATCCTATTTTTATTTCAGTCTATCCGCTCTGCCCCCACCTCCGCAGCTAATCTATTGATGAAGCCTGTTATTTGCGGCGCTCCTCCTAGCCACCCAGGCAAAGTTGACACAAATTCCGCCAATTACCTAGCCACAACCCCGGGAAAAGCGGCTCCAAATTGGCCCAGTTTTTTTCTCGACTCTCAGCTCGAATCGAAAAAATAATGAGATTGGCTTGGCTTAGGCTTGGCTTAGGCTTGGCTTAAGCTTGGCGTAGTCTTGGCTTAGGCTTGGCTTAGAATTAGCAGAGGCTTGGCTTAGGCTCGGCTTAGGCTTGGCTTAGCTCAAATAAAATTTTCCATAACACAATATTATGCAATTTTACAGTTATTTGAATACCAGCGGGGGAGGAGCCGCTTCGCGACTCTCCCCCGCTGGACCCCGTCTAGGCCCTATGAATCGAGCGCCCTTACACATAAAGTTACCATGAAGAACGAAAAACACATCTCCCATGCAAACCTCTTTGTATTCTCATGCGGCGCAAGCTTAAATTGCTAGTGTCGTTATTAGGCCTGCGGCGCAGGTCCTCATCCAGCGGCGCCGGCTCGAGCGGTTTGTTTCGAGATAAAGCCTGTCGCAAGCTTGAGCGGTAACCCCCTTCTTAGGCCTGCGGCGCTAGCTTCAATGGCTGTTTTTATTCGTTAGCCTGCGGCGCTAGCTTGAGCGGCTAGCTTGGTTCTAAAGCCTGCGGCGCTAGCTTGAGCGGCTAGCTTCGTTCTAAAGCCTGCGGCGCTAGCTTGAGCGGCTAGCCTCGTTCTAAAGCCTACGGCGCTAGCTTGAGCGGCTAGCTTGGTTCTAAAGCCTGCGGCGCTAGCTTGAGCCTCCTGATCCCGCGGCGCAATTTTGAAGGGCTAGCTCTCACCTTGGGCCCGCGGCGCTAGCTTGGCCGGCTAACTTCCTTCCGAAGCTTGCGACGCTAGTTTTAGGGGCCGGCCTGAACCTTTAGCCTGCGGCGCTAGTTTCAGCGGCTAGCGTCGTTCCAAAGCCTGCGGCGCTAGTTTGAGCAGTTAGCTTGATTCCTTGGCCTGCGGCGCATGCTTGAGCGGGTAGCTTCATTCTATAGGCTTCATAATAACGTCCCTACACGGAAATCTACTCCGAAACGCACTTTCCGAGCAAAAAGCAAAACAACTACGATATCCGAGAATCGAACCTCCGATGGTTAGATTGGGATGGCGAAGCGTTAACCACTACACCATCAAACACTTGGGAGCACGCGCCAAACATCCCTTTTATGTCCCAAGCGATCCAGGGGAAGGAAAGGGATCGAGAGGCAGCTCCAATCGGGCAGCCAAACGCGCGAGTGCAACTGGCAAGAATGAGGAAATTTGTATTTTCTCGCATTATGCAAATTAGCCCTCAGGGACCCCCAAAAATGAATAAAACCGGCCTTAACTTTGTAAACTTGTATTTTATCGGAATTCTGAAAACGCCATCGGAAAGAGGAGGGTCGATTCCCCCGGGTGACGGAGAATTAGGGCATTTTGGACACGGGAAGGCCCTCAAATCGGGCCTCGAAAGTGACATCCACACACACACACACACATACGCGACCAAATTATATAAGGTGGGACAATCCTTTTCTTCTGGTAATTTCTGATTTTTTAGAATTTTTTTGTTTTTTTCAGCCGAAATGTCCCAGGTTTCCGGAACAACCCTGACCTTTTTTGCACCTCTCAACCACACCCCCACTTCTGACAGCAACAAGCCGTTCGCCCTTGCTGGAAGTGGAGAGGGTGGGGGGCCAGAATGGGCCCCCTCCCTGGGGCCCAACTTATTAGTCGTTGGCCAATGTTTCTCGAGTGGGCCAAGGGGCCCAAAAGGGGCCAAAAGGAGGAGGCCATACTCCCTCCTTCCTTCCGCCCATTCGGCCACTGGGGCAGTGGATTAATCTAGGCGTTGAATTTTTCATCGCTCTTCACCCCCAGAGCGCCAATGCGTGAATGTGGGCCACCCCCTCAGGGCCCATTAGGAGGGTCTTTTATTTGGTTTGTTCTTGCTTATGAGGGAGAGGGGTGTTTTTAAGCGATGGAGAAGTTTTGAATTTACCTGTCTTGTTCACTGCTTGCCACTCTAGAGCTCATGCTCGTTTTCTCTCCCTCTCTCTAGTTTGAGCTCGACCTTGCTAGCTCAATAACGCTCGCTTTTTCTCACCCTAACACACTCTATATCCCTCTCTATCGCTTGAGCTGCAGCTCAACCTCCACGTTAGCCCAATCACTTTCTCTCTCTCTCTCTCTCTCTCTCTCTCTCAGCTCGTGATCACCCGAACTAGCTGGATCTCGATCTCTCTAGCTCTATCTCTCTTTCTCGCTGCATCTCTCTCGTTCTCGCTAATAGTAGCTAGATCTTGCTCAGTCTCTCTCTCTTTCTCTCTCTAGCTCGCGCTCGCGCTCACTCTCTAGCTCGCTCTATCTTTCTCTCTCCCTCCCTCCCTCCCTC